GCAGACCTCCATCAAGAGGCAGAAATTCCCAAAGTAGATTCCAAAATTGATGATATGACAACTAAATTTATTCAAAAATGCAATCTTTCTGAACATGCTTTAATAAGCAATTTGTACATAGTAGGTTAAGTGTATATAGTAGAGTAGGTTAGTTTTAAGCTGTCAATAGTAGTATTAAGTAGTTTCTCTTCAAATTCTAAAAACAAAACAAACCAATCCCACCAAGGTGGTCGACCGTGTACTAAGTCTAGGACTAATTCTGTAAAACAAATTTTGAATTTTGCCCATACCTAAAGATGAAGAAAGCAATTAAATCACTTAGTAAAAATTTATATGGTAATCGTCCAAGTTAAACTAAAATAAAGATCATTTAAACTAACTAACTCCGCGTTTTCAGTTGTGTGACGACCACCCGAGCAAGCAGTAGCAACATAGGAACAGAATAGGAAAGAAGAAGGTGAGCCGAGAACGGCTGAAGAAAAACGCTTGTATCAAGAAGAAGACAATATAAGATGGAGTGAAAATTAAAGTGTGTGTGTGCTCCTTTGTCTCCAGCCGAAGGTCCCTCGTTCCACCAAGCTGTAAAGTTTGTGTGCAGCCCTTTTCAGGGCTATGAAAGAGTTGTTAGAACATCCGCATTGATTGGTTGGTAGCTGACTGCAATGAAGGCAGTTCCTGGTTGATTGGGAATCAACAACGCTTGGGTAGATTCCACTTGGGGAATCAGCAACGCTTTTCTCCGCTGCATGAAGGCAGCTTTGGTTTGACAGCAGTTTTACAGTCCACTGCAATACGACGCAACAGCTACCGTGATAGAAAAAATTAGCCATCGTCCAACATTACTGCTCAAATGCTTCTTCAACCTTAATCTCACCGAATGAGACAAACGGCGTCTCAATATCTACTTTTTCTAAGAGCTTTCCCGTTCCTTTTCAATCATAAAGTACCACATGATTGTCCATATATGACTCTCATAAATTGCCTCATCAATATAACTCGAACTCGTATATCGTTTTCACCAACAGTCCCAGATTTTCTAATAGTGGAACTTGAAATTGGAATCACAATGTTTTATAAAATGTATTTTGATTTATTTAAGCGTCGTCCAAACAAATTACATCATCTCTATCACTACCCAGACTGCATTAAAGAAATTGGACCGTTGCAACGTGTTTTTGAAGCAAAAAACAAAAATATATAAAATACAGATGAACGCTGCAAATATTTCAAAAATGTATGCCTCAGTTTAGCTAAACGACAACTGTTTGCGCAAGCTATTAGTATCGCAGAACGTCCGTTCAAAGGTTGTTTGACTCACCAATCTGGAAAAATGTTTTTAATCAAGAATATGTAATCAGCTCCCTGACCGATGTTTTTCTCCCAAAGAAATGGTATTCAATGGAGTTCAATTCCGGACTAATTGTGTTGTATCAGTCAAGGATACCAACCTAAATGGGCTCCCTACTTTCGGAGAAATACGAGAAATTGTTGTGATAGATGACAAAGCCAAGATTCTACTGATATTGTGGGAAACAATTGATTCTGATGATGTGCTGCAGGCGTACCAAGTTGAAAATACAAAGCAAGGAATGTTAGTTTCTCTGGAAAACATACATAGTCACACTACTTTTGCATTTTGGAAAACATATAATAGTACACCCTCTTACATATCGAAAAGAATATATAACAACGATTATTACTAACAGTTGCTAAGTTATCAACTACTGAAAAAAATACAAATTTTAACAGTTCACAAAGAAATCGTCGACGTAGAAACGTTTTCGCTGCTGGATGAGACTGATTTCAATCGTTTGAACCTAAACACTGGACAGAGGAAAAAAATTAAAAAAATTCAAGCTGAAATTATCAGCAATAAAAAAAAAACTACTTGTCTATTTTCAGCCCAAAAACAAACCCTTGAATGTTGTTCAGATATCTGATGATCTGACAAAGCGATTCTCTGCCGTGACCGAAATAACGAAGGTTAGGCACAACAAACTTCGTGTGACCGTCGCTAACCTGAAACAGGCCAATGAAATTGCTGTTTCTCAGGTTTTCACACTGGAATATAGGGTGTACATTCCAGTCTCTGATGTGGAGATCGAAGGCGTGGTCACTGAGGCGAGCCTGAACCCCGAGATACTGGAGAAGCAAGCGGTTGGCTGATTCAAGAACCCCTTGCTTCCTCCGGTAAAGATACTGGCCGTTCATAGAATGAAGTCAGTATCGCTCAGCGAGGGTAAAAAGAGTTTTACCCCCACAGACTCGTTTCGGGTGACCTTTTCTGGATCTGCCCTTCCTCAATACATCGAGCTGGGAAAACTTCGTCTTCCTGTGCGGTTGTTTGTACCTCGGGTCATGAACTGCCAGAATTGTAAGCGGTTTGGACATACGGCCTCCCACTGCGGCAACAAGGCACGCTGCTCCACATGCGGGGAGAAGCATGAGGATGGCGCCTGCGCAGCGTACAAACAGCTCGGGGACAAAACGAAACGCTCCTTTAAGGAACGTTCCAGGCGGTCTTTTGCAGAAATGCTTAAGACAGCCACACCATTGACCAATGACAAAAATCCCTTTTCTCTTTTGTCAGATGACGAGACTGACTCTGACTTGGCTGAGGAGGGAACTTCTTTCAGTTTTCCGGAAGGTTCTGCACGGAAACGAAAGCGCATCCGTTCGCGCATTGTTGCAAATAAAGAACCCCAAATCAGCTTGCCCAAATCAAGGAGTGGTGGAAAAAAGGAGACTTCTACTCCTCCTGGATTCCGCAGAACTGACTATACCCAGGATTTTCCACCTCTTCCGGGGACATCCAAAACCCCTGATGCCCCAATTTTAAGAACAGAAACCCCTTCTTCATCTGGGTTGTTCTCATTTGATGACATTGTTGACGGTATTCTCAAATACCTCAACGTTTCTGATCCTCTGAAAAGCATTGTCCTCACATTGCTTCCCACTGTGAAATCCTTCTTGAAGCAATTGACTTCAAAATGGCTATCATCTCCTTCGATGGATAATTTTCCAAACGAGGTCGGGGATTTGATCACTGTTCTACAGTGGAATTGTCGAAGTCTTATTCCGAAATTAGATTCGTTCAAGTATTTAGTCCATAACAATAATTGCGATGCATTTGCCCTCTGTGAAACATGGCTCTCTTCAGAAATTGATCTCCCTTTTTAGTTTTTAACATTATTCGATTGGATCGTGAGGATTCACGTGGAGGAGCGGTACTTTTGGGGATCAAAAAGTGCCATTCCTTCTATAGAGTGAATCTTCCCGAATTCCCCGGTATTGAAGTTGTCGCATGTCAGGCTACCATTAGAGGTAAGAGCCTTTGTATTGCTTCTGTATATATTGCTCCTACACGCAAACCAAAAATCTATTACAATGAACGTTAGTTCCGTTTCCTATCATCCTCTGTTCATAAACATCGCAGCGAATGTTAGAAGTTGACCTTACAGGCGATGTAATGGTTATTTATCTTTTTCATTTCGTGTTTTCTATCTACGCTTTCGACTATACCAGTAAGCTTGTAGAACGACGCACATTGTAGAACATTGTAGAACGACGCACACACTTGCCTCGAATCTCTCCAGCAGAAAAAGCATACGAAGTCAAGTGTGAGAGGTAATGAGCGCTTCTTGCTTGCTTTTAGGCTATCCATATTCAGAAGCATGGAGAGAGCAGTGGAGAAAGCACAGGTCTGATAATCGAAGCGTTCTTGGTTCGAGTCCAGTCGGCAATCGGATTCCTATTTTTTTCGACCTAACTAATTTACCTCACTAATACACTTTACATTTTTCGATCTCCAATTTTCTTGCATTGGACCGCAGCTAGGTTTATCGCATCCTCGGTTCATGTGGTCTCCACTAACATCCTCTGATGATGAATCCCACATAATTGTAAGCGAATCTAACATCCACTGGTTGGGTGTAGTAGTTGTAGGTTAGTTGTAGTTGTAAATAGTAGTTATAAGTAGTCTCCTTTTTCCAATTCAAATCAAACCAATCCCACCAAGGTAGTCATACTTTAAAATAGGCCTGATAGGACTAGAAACTGTAAATAATAATTAAAATCTCAAATGTACTAAAGTTGAAAAGACGCATCTGTGTCACTTGAAAAATTCATTCATGTAAACCACACAAACACAAGAAATAAAGATCATTTAAAGTCAAAGTCACGTTGCGATGATACAGTCCACAAACCTTGTAAAGAGAACACCGAATTATAGCGCCGTTGAAATTATAAACCATCGTTTTTTTCCTTCTTGAACAAGCCGAAACCAAAGAAGTCCTTTTCAGGGCTATGAGTTAAGTGGAATTTTCAGTCGAGCTTTTCTGTGTGTTCCTGTTGGCATTCCCACAGGGGGAATTGGCCAAATCAGCTGGAATCCTCCGAGCCGAGGATTGCCACACCATCTCCAGTGTCCGTGATCGGACACATTGATTTGCCTTATACAAAATAATGTAGGCAAAAAATAATAAATCGGAGCAGACTGGGACCGGACTATGGACGTTGAGGTTAGGGGGCCCGTGTGTTGACCACTGGTCTTTCAATGCTTAGGAAAATTAAATAATTAAAGGCGTATAAGAGCTACTCATGTAATCCGAAAATCATCCATAAATAACGCTTATGAAATTTATGTAAGTTGTTCCATAGTCGAGCCTTATGAAAATCTTAGGTCTATTTGCCTCAGAGGATATGGTTGCCAGTAAATATATTTTTTCGGGTGAAGTTTTGACATCTCGGTCAACACGACGAAACACCCAAAAACACACATGAAGCACAATACGCGCAGACACAAGGTGGCAGAGTGACTTACCCCCTGATATTGGCGTATTATCCTCGATGGAGCTTTCCACTATCAGTGACGTCTACTGGAGATAATCCCGTGCAGAAGTATTGAGTAAGCACGAAATTGTGGCGAATAAGGGACGTAGCCGTTGCAATGGTATTTCGGATCTGAAACTCAAAGCCACACACCGCCAGACCCGCACTAGTATGAATCACTTCGATTTTATTGAACTTGTTCAAAATATACTTAAAACTAAAAATAAATATCTCAATCATATTCACTAGAAAGTTCTCTCATTTTGTTAAATCTTTTACTCGCTTGCTTAAACATGATTTCGTTTTTTTTTTGTTTGATATCTTCTATCGCTCTTTGTGTTTCACTCTCTCTATCGCTCTCTCTCTCTCTCTCTCTCTTTGCCTGTCGTACAAAAATCTGTTCAACTCATATATACGTATTCTTTTCATCTATAAATGCTTGCTCATTGTGATTAATTAAAAATCCTACGAATAAATCATCAAACATGATAACGATCCTTTGCTTGCTAATTTCATCTACTGACCTCTCCTATCGATAGTGTTTGCCTCTGCGGTTCTATATAATGTAAATAAAATATCCATTTTTGCATAAACGTCTGATTCTGCGAAGGGACCACCTTACAAACACTCACCCACACACGCACACACTTCCACTTCTTTATAAGTGAATTTCTCTCGAATGCTCCTCTGTTGTGGTTTACTGAACATTTACAATCAAGTTTTTTTTTGCTTGTCAGTTTAAAGTAATTATTGTTTTAGCGCTGATGTTTTACGTTGACTTTTTTTTTTTTTTCATTCTCTAGAGATAATTACAACTCAGTTTTTGCTTGATTTCACTAGTTTAGATTAAGATTGACCTACCGTCAGCGCAATCGTTCGCTCTCGCACTCACACATGCACGCCACCAATGAAGAGGGAATCGAACAAACGGTGTTTTGACTTTAATCCGATATATTTTGATTGTTGAACGCCAGTGTTTGTTTGATGTTTATGTATGTGAGTGTGACTGTGATTTCTTTGGGCTACCTTTGCTCGGGTCATGTGTGTGTGTTATGGTTTTTATCTTCTCTAATTATTCTTAAATCACAATTATTACTATTTGATTTTTACTTAACCTCCGGATTTGACTATTATTACACGGCACCGGAAGGTGCTAGTGGACGCACCTTCCGGCTTGCTTTCGTCTCTTTGTTTTTTTTTTATTTATGGTAGGTTAACTCAACAGCACTTTGAAGTTTCGTTTTTCAACAACATTTACATTTATATTTAAGTTCTTTTTTGTTTGTTTTTTTTTTTTCTTCTTTAGAGCCTACATTTCTTAACGACTATGTTTACGGTTTTTATCTAGCTTCGTTTCGATCACTATTTTGGTATTTTTTTTTTTTACTTTTGTTTTCCTCGAGGGTTTTAGGACTTTGCTAGTTTGTTTTAGGTGATTGATAGATAGAGAGAGAAAGGTTTTGGTTCAGAAGATTTAGCGGCTGATTCAAGTTTAACGGAATAAACTCTGTAGAGATAAAGTGGTAACGTAACTTGTCAACAGTTGTAATTACTTAAATCGATCTATTTGCTTATTTGTAAAGTGCCTTGCGTTTGGTTGGATTTCGTACTGTTTGGCTCTAATAAAATATGTTGGCTTACTAAACAACAGTCTGTGGTAGCACCTAACTAGTCGTTGGGAAGAGATTTTACGGTAACGGTTAGTTGAAATTATTTCGTGATACTGGTAGTTGATAACAGTTTAATATAAATTACAGCAAAAACTAAAATAAATAGCAACGAAGTAGCAATTGTGATTGAGAAGAGCGGAACGGTGAGCCATAATGCATCCATTTTCAGGTTCCAATTTGGAATTTCAAATGACTTTTAAATGAGTTTGCAATGCTTATGTGAGGTCAATAAACAAATTCCAGAGGGCTTTTCATGAAAATCCTGGGGACTTCGAGATGCCTTCAAACTAGCAAGCCCAAGAGACTTAGGGTTAGTTATTTGCAGAATGTTCTAATGCCTAGAGTTACTTTGATTACGCTCGGTTCAGAGCCTACATTTGAGGACGATGTACTAGAGCTGTTTCTTTTAAATACTTCGAATATTATTCGAGAGGGATAACTCAGGTCTTCCCAGGACGAAATTTGAATCAATTCCAGATGACTTTAAGCACAATGCCTTCGGGCTACAAAATGGTGAGTTGACAACCTGGAAGGAGCGGAATACCTAGCCCTGGTCCTCACAAGTTCCTACTTCACGCCTCCTCGAGTCATATGATAACAAAAGACTACCAGCTGAAACATGGACACAGCTGGTTGGCGTAGCCTGGGCAATGTTGCCAGTCCGGCAATAGCAAAGTGAAGAGGTGCGACGCGAACACTGGCGCGGTAACCATAGTACGGTGATAGAGGAAATGCTTCACCAAACCTGAGCGTCTGCTCACCATGGAGGTGCGGCTCAAAACGGCGTCTGTTCTCCATGTTAGGAGCGGCTGATCACCGTCCTAGTGCCAGCGTGGGACTCTAAACAGAGCTGTGCACGATGGTCCCCCGGCGAGACAGGGGGTTGGGGCAGGCCCAACAAGCCGCCCTGGAAAAAAACAAAGTTGCAAATACTGAAGAAAGAAATACGGATCGGAACAATCGGCACAGACCTACGCGACGAAATAAGGACTACGATTGGAAACTCGGAACATGGAACTGCAAATCGCTCGGCTTCCCGGGTTGCGATAGGTTAATCTATGACGAACTTCAACCACGCAACTTCGAAGTCGTAGCACTGCAGGAACTTTGCTGGACGGGACAAAAGGTATGGAAAAGCGGGCATCGAGCGGCTACTTTCTACCAGAGCTGTGGCACCACCAACGAGCTGGGAACCGGCTTTGTAGTGCTGGGTAAGATGCGCCAACGCGTGATTGGTTGGCAGCCGATCAACGCGAGGATGTGCAAGTTGAGGATTAAGGGCCGTTTCTTCAACTACAGCATCATCAACGTGCACTGCCCACACGAAGGGAGACCCGACGACGAGAAAGAAGCGTTCTATGCGCAGCTGGAGCAGGTGTACGACGGCTGTTCGCAACGGGACGTCAAAATCGTCATCGGCGACATGAACGCTCAGGTAGGACGGGAGGCAATGTATAGACCGGCAATCGGGCCAAACAGCCTGCATGCCGTATCGAACGACAACGGCCAACGATGCGTGAACTTTGCAGCCTCCCGGGGTATGGTAGTTCGAAGTACCTTTTTCCCCCGCAAGGATATCCACAAAGCCACCTGGAGATCACCTGACCAACACACAGAAAACCAAATCGATCACGTTCTAATCGATGGGAAATTCTTCTCCGACATTATCAACGTCCGCACGTACCGCAGTGCGAACATAGATTCGGACCACTACCTAGTTGCAGTATGCATGCGCTCAAAACTCTCGACGGTGCATAACACACGTCGAAGTCGAACGCCGCGACCTAACATTGAGCAACTACGGGACACCGGAGTTGCCCAGGACTACGCGCAGCAGCTGGAAGTTGCACTACCCACGGAAGAGCAGCTTGGCGCAGCTTCTCTTGAAGATGGTTGGAGGGACATCCGTTCAGCCATAGGTAGTACTGCTGTAGCGGCACTAGGTACTGCAATCCCGGACCGAAGAAATGACTGGTTTGACGGCGAATGCAAACTGTTAGTAGAGGAGAAGAATGCAGCACAGGCGAGAATGCTGCAACACCGCACGAGATTGAATGTGGAGCGATACAGACAAGCGCGGAACAGACAAAACTCGGTTTTCCGAAGGAAGAAGCGTCAGCAGGAAGATCGAGATCGCGAGGCGATGGAAAATCTGTACCGCGTAAACGACACACGGAAGTTCTACGAGAAGCTAAATAGTTCGCGCAAAGGCTACGTGCCGCAAGCCGATATGTGCAAGGACTTGGACGGTAACCTTCTCACGAACGAGTGTGAGGTGATTGAGAGGTGGAAGCAGTACTATGACGAGCACCTCAACGGTGAAGCAGCAGAAAACGAAGGTGGCACGGCAACAGACCTTGGAGCACGCGCAGAAGACGACAGGCTACCGGCCCCTGATCTTCAAGAAGTTGAGGAGGAGATCGGTCGGCTGAAGAACAACAAAGCAACTGGTGTAGATCAACTACCAAGTGAGCTATTGAAATACGGTGGTGAAGCACTGGCTAGAGCGCTGCACTGGGTAATTGCCAAGATTTGGGAGGAGGAGATATTACCGGAGGAGTGGATGGAAGGTGTCGTATGCCCAATCTACAAAAAGGGCGACAAGTTGGATTGCTGCAACTACCGCGCGATCACACTGCTGAGCGCCGCCTACAAGGTATTCTCCCAAATTCTATGCCGCCGTCTGTCACCATATGCAAGAGAGTTCGTGGGGCAATACCAGGCGGGATTCATGGGTGCCCGCGCTACCACGGACCAAATTTTCGCGATTCGGCAGGTTCTGCAGAAATGCCGCGAATACAACGTGCCCACACATCATTTGTTCATCGATTTCAAATCCGCATACGACACAATCGATCGAGATCAGCTATGGCAGATTATGCACGAGTACGGATTTCCGGATAAACTGACGCGATTGGTCAAGGCGACGATGGATCGAGTGACGTGCGTTGTTCGAGTATCGGGGACACTCTCGAGTCCCTTTGAATCTCGAAGGGGGTTACGGCAGGGTGATGGACTTTCGTGTCTGCTGTTCAACATCGCGTTAGAAGGTGTGATCAGAAGAGCTGGGATAGACACGAGTGGCACGATATTCAGGAAGTCCATCCAGCTCCTTGGTTTCGCCGATGACATTGACATTATGGCACGGAACTTTGAGATGATGGCGGAAACGTACATCAGACTGAAGGCTGAAGCTAGACGGATTGGACTTGCCATCAACGCATCAAAGACAAAATATATGAAAGCAAGAGGTTCTAGGGAAGACAATGTTAGCCTCCCACCCCGAGTTCAGATTGACGGTGACGAAATCGAGGTGGTCGATGAGTTCGTGTATTTGGGCTCACTGGTGACCGCCGAAAATGATACCAGCAGAGAAATTCAAAGACGCATTATGGCAGGGAATCGTGCCTACTTTGGACTCCGTAGGACGCTCCGGTCGAATAAAATTCGCCGCCGCACGAAGTTGACTGTCTACAAGACGCTGATTAGACCGGTGGTCCTCTACGGCCACGAGACCTGGACTATGCTCGTGGAGGACAAACGCGCCCTTGGTGTTTTCGAACGGAAGGTGTTGCGTACCATCTACGGTGGAGTGCAGATGGATGACGGAACGTGGAGGAGGCGAATGAACCACGAATTGCACCAGCTGCTGGGAGAACCATCCATCGTCCACATTGCAAAAATTGGGCGACTACGGTGGGCTGGGCACGTCGTAAGAATGCCGCACGACGACCCAGTGAAAATGGTTCTAGAAAGCGACCCAACAGGAACAAGAAAAAGAGGCGCGCAGCGGGCAAGGTGGATCGACCAAGTAGAAGGTGACCTGCGGACCCTTCGCAGACTACGAGGCTGGCGAACTGTGGCCATGGATCGAGTAGAGTGGAGACGACTTCTTCGGACAGCAGAGGACAACAAGGCCTTAGCCTGATTGGTAAGGTTAAGCACAATGCCTGAAATGCATTAGGTATCCTAAGGGACTCTAAATGTAAGTTCTGCTGGATTCAGACTATTGAAGACTATTTCAAAAAAAAAATTTTATCAACAAAGCACACGAACCAATGAAGGCCAATGAAACTACATATGTGTTGCAAACAGACTGTATTTTGTATTTGTCGCAGAAGTCGCTTAAACCTAACCATGATTTTCTAAAATCTTCCTTCATGATCTTCTTATAGCATTTTGCGTGGCCTTAGCTTTAAAACATGTCGGAGCTTGGTTTTAAATTTACTTTAATCATTGAAAATTCAGTTAGAGATCGTCTGGACACTTAAAGTCCTTTGAACTTTCCAATCAGTGATGGCATAATCATTAGCAAATTTATATTTTTCCGATCTCATATGCCCTTAATATCATGCCTGACCTTGATTTTATAAGTTCCTTTGATATTGCGAGACTATTCACAACGTGTAAAATTGAAGCTGAGACTTGAATCGACGCAAAAATGATTCCGTTGCGCCTCGTTTTCTTAGAAAGAAATGGTATGATGTTGCTATCTGTTTTTTCTCTTCACCGATGGCAGACACGAAGCGACTGCTGCCAGCCGTTATGGAAGTTTCGGTTGCGTTCGGGTGTAAAGCAAAAATCATGAAACTCAATCTCACCACAGTTTGGTGAGATTTGCAGCTGGTGAGTTTTGTTAGCTTGATATTTCAAGCTGCGATATCACAGCTTGCAATATCAATCACAGTTTTTTTCCTAGATTTGTTTTCCGTCGATCTTGTTTTTCGGGCTGAGCACCAATGCTACCGACGCCAGGGAGGCAGCTTCCACACCTGGACCCTACCTATCAACCCATCAACTCATGAACCGGGGACCAACGGCTTTTACTTCCCTTCCGAAGGAAGGCGTGATCAGAGATGTTATGCCTCAGAACATCCCGGCGGCACCGACTGGGATTGAACGGCGAAAAAAGCTCCAATGCAGCACTAATATGTGAATGGCCGTGAAAATCCACCCACGAGCAAAAAGAGAAAAGGAAAGGCGAAGCTGTGACAGTTGCCTGAAATGGTTTCACACAACTTGCGTTCTAATCAGCGATCTAGTTTTACCTGAACTCAAAAGCTTCTGGTATTTCTGTGAGACTGTGAGACAACAGCAGCAACAGGATTCGACACCAGCACCGGACAATGACGCTCACGAACGTCTGGTGAAGCTAATCGAAGAACTGTCGACAGAAATGCTCAAGCTGCGTGAGGTTGAGGTTGAGGTTGAGGTGGAAGTTTCACGGTCCTGGTGTAAGAAGCAAGTTGAACGTCTTCAAAATCGTGTGCTCGAGGTCGACAAAACATACGACCGGCAGTCTGCACAAACCAAGTTTCTCGAAACCATCGAACAGAAGATCGAAGCGATTGAATCGGGAGCCAAGCTTCCTGTTGTATCCTCGCAAAATGTCAACAGTTACAGAGTCGCTGTTAACAAAGTTCCCTACCGAGCCGATGAGAACCTCGGAGCCATTGTGAGGACAATTTTCGACTTCCTAGGTGTTCCTCACATCATGGCGAATGTTGTCAGGTATTTCCGTCTACCAGTTAGATCTTCAAAATGGTCAGATCGTTCGCTCACACCCACAATTGTCATCGTGTTCGACGGAAACGAAACCAGGAATTCGACGCTGCGCGTGCACTACAAGAAGCACAGGGATGCAAAATTGTGCATGCTGGATGATAATCTTCCGCTAGACTATCGGTTCACTCTGAACGAAGTCCTGTCTCTCACAACTTCCGAATACGGAACCTTGCTCTGAGACTTAAACACAAAAAAGTCATCAGCTCTGTGTTTATTGGAACATGGAACTCACTGGCTCGACAACAGAAGGTGAAAATTCATCGCTGTTCTTCGACGCACAGTCCTCAGTTTCTTCGCTTGGATTAACACCCTAACTGCACTACCATTTTGACGACTTTAATTCTACCAGATGACTATCTACCCAAAACAACTTCGTATAGGACATCTCAACGTTCGCAGTCTCGAACGACATATTGATGGTGTCAAGTTAATGCTCGACCGTGACCAATACCATTTCTTCTGCGTATCTGAGACTAAACTGAGACAATCCTCACCTGCTGGACCTATTCGGATTCCCGCCTACAACTTTATTAAGCATTCGCTTTCGTCCGGACGTGGTAGGAGTAACAAGACGTGTGGAGGGGCAGGAATTTATGTTAAGAAGGGTATCAAGGTGGTGCCGATTTTGAAATCAACTATCGACCCAACCATTCCGATCAACCAACGGCTTGAATTTCTGGCCATCCAAGCTAGGTTTGGCGATACTAACACGTGCATCGTCGTGGTATACAACCCCTCTGGTTGCAACGCACTTTTTGCCCAACAATATGAAAAGCTTCTACTCGATCTGCTGGAACACCATTTTGACAGGGTCTTCCTGGTTGGTGACTACAGTATCAACGTCGCCGCGAGTCAACCCACTGCGAACCTACTTGCTTTGAGACGGATTCACACCACCTTCAATCTTACGGTGCTACCCACGTCGGCCACCCGGATCACTGAACACAGCTCTACTACCATTGATCCAATGGTAACCGATCACCCATTGGTCATCAAAAAATCCAAAGCTGTAAACGCGAACTCCATTTCCGTTCACGAAGCTGTGTATCTGATCGCTGACGTGCGCATACCTGAGGCTCCACCTCGTCGTATAAAAGCACGGAATCTCGTGAGGATAGATCCCCTACGGCTGCAAGCTGATTTCCAGGCAAAGGACCAAAGCACATCTACCAAGAAGAAGACATCGACATCAAAACACAACTTCTCACTACCGAACTTTATTCGCTTTTGAACCAGCATGCTCCGGAGCGGATAATTAGTGTTCGTGACAAACGCACGCCATTGATAACGAACGAAATCCAAGCTGCAATCACCTCGAATCGTGTCAGAGGAGATGCACAATGGCGAGACTACATCTCCAAAAAAAGTAGGGCCGGCACCCTAATTGGTGAGAAAAGGTATGCTGATTCGCAGTTTGGCATGGATCTTCCTGCTAAGCAGCTGTGGTGCAAACTGAGGAGAGAGGGCATACATTACAATGCAAAGAAGAATGCGGCCATGGAGGAGTTTGATGCTGACCGACTAAAAAAGTTCTTTGCTGAAGGCCATCACATGTTACAGCATAGGGCTGTACCTTCGCAAGCGAACGCAGAATCCGATCGACAACCCGCAAATGTGGCCGGCGGCCAATTCCAGTTCAGGCGCACTAGCGTCAACGAAGTCACCAGGAAAATTTACGAGATTGGGACCAACGCGAAAGGGACGGATGAAATCCCCATCTCATTCATCAAGCTGCTCTGCCCGTTTGTCCTCCCCCTCCTGACTCACCTGTTCAAGGTGATTATCGATGCTCAAACTTTCCCCTCCGTCTGGAAAAAGGCCATCGTTACCCCGATACCGAAATCATCGAAGCCTACTTCACCGAAGGACTTCAGGCCCATTAGTGTCCTACCTGCGGTGTCTAAGGTACTGGAGAAGATTCTACTGTCGCAAATAACGGATCATCTCGATGTATCCAGACCCGCTCTTCTTGTCAAACACCAGTCAGGATACAGGAAAAACCACAGTACCACGACTGCTCTAGTCAAGGTTGCTCACGATATCCTCAACAACTTTGACGATAACAGGTGCACAGTCATGGTTCTTGTCGACTTTTCGTTGGTATTCAACTGTGTCAGACATGGTCTACTTGAAACGAAGCTGAGGAGGGAATTCGGGTTTTCAAACTCCGCGTGTAATTTGATTTCATCTTTCCTGGAGCAGCGAAGCCAGGTTGTAGACCTGTGTGGTACTCCCTCGAATCCCCGGAATCTCACCGACGGTACGCCACAAGGATCCTGTCTGAGCGCCCTGCTGTTTAGCCTGTACATCTAAATGCGAGTATCACCTCTATGCGGACGACCACCAAATCTACACATCAGACCCCACAAGCGAAATTAACAGGCTCATCGAAGCAATCGACCAGAACGTTGGGCCACTGAGCATCGTCTGTCTCTCAACCCAAAGAAGACGCAAGCTATAGTCTTTTGTAGAGATGGGGCCATAATCCCTCAAAATGACATCCGCTTCTGTGATGAAACCATTACTTTGTCGAACAAAGTTACCAACCTTGGTCTCATTATGGACTCTATATACTCTTCGTACGTTCAGGCACTTCCGTGGAGTGCTTTCCAGACAGATTCGTATGAAGCTCGTCCAAGCTGTGGTGATGCCGTTCTTCGCATACTGCGACGTCGTGTACTACCCAGGACTGTCCACCGTGCTCAAGGCTCAGTTGCATCGATGCTTCAAGTCGTCGGTGAGGTTCGTGTATGGAATCCGAGGGCGTGACACGACCAGAGAAGTGCGGCACACCATACTCGGATGCAATCTGCCGGAAAACTACCACCGTCGTATCTGCTGCTGCATGTACGGGGCCTACCATGGAAGCCTCCTAAAGGTCGGAACGAGCGAGCTAGATCCTACCGAGTCCTACCGCATCACACCACAAGTTCCCGAAAAAGTGTTCTAATATTCGGAGCGTCCACCTGGAACGCACTACCACTAGCTACAAGGCAGCAACGGACTCTCACGTCACTTAAAGCGGCGCTCCACAGAGCTGATTAATTCTCTAGGCTAATACCTATAGTAGCTGTCGATTTAAGAAATGTCAAATGTTTAGACTTAGACTTTAATTTCATTCTTAACTCCCCACTAAACTGATTCAAAATGGTTGCTTCCTTAACCTGATTTATGGTTCTGTAACTGACAGGTTTTCGTTATGCTATCAATAAATTACAATTACAAATCAACTGTCAAAAATCACCGTTCAGAGATAATCATCTACTATGCAGAACATATATGAAATGCCATTTTCATGAACACGTTGAAGACCAAGATCTCCATAATCTCATGAAATTATAAACTATCTTACAATCGAACAGTGTTCTTCATAAACGAACCTAAATGTTTTCTCTGAATGTTGAAAAAATAATATTTCAATACAAGAGATTTGATCATGAGAATCGAAAT